GTCTCTACATGATGTCATCAATAAGTATTTTAAATATACTGATGACATCGCAGGAACAGAAAGCAATGTCGCATATTTAAATAACACTTGTAGAGAGGTTTCAAGGCAGATCAGGAAACGACAGGGCAAACAAAATGAGTTTGAAGTCGGCGAGATCATGATATGCAGAGAGTATAGGAAGACAAAAACCTATAAGTTAAATGTGAATTTTAGGTATGAGATAATTAATATTTCCGATCCTTGGATTACCATTGCTAATATCAAAACACGAGAAGAGATTACATTACATATTGGTATCTTGAGAAGTCATTTTATCTTTGCCTTCTGTTATACTTGTCATTCTGTTCAGGGGTGTTCCATTGATGACGATGTCACCATTTTTGATTGGAACCATCATCTGATAACTCGCGAGTGGCTTTGGACGGGAATCACTCGGGCAAGGGATTTAAACAGAGTAAAATTTTACAAATACAGTAGTGATTTAAATGAAGAGTTTAACGCAAATGCATTATGATTTATTTTGATAGAAAGGTGTTAGCATACAAGGAACAGGATAGGAAAAATGGCTTTGGTATTCCAAAAGAAAATTATGTAGATGCCGAATGGTTGAAGGACAACGTGAATGGAAAGTGTGCAAATTGTGGCTGTGGCTTTGTGTTGTCCATGGATTCTGGTAATATAAATTCTAATCTGACTTGTCAAAGGTTATGTAATGATCTTCCCCATACAAAGGATAATGTCATTGCCTTCTGTGCTTCTTGTAATAGATGCTTCAGTGATAAAATAACATATTGATATTTATTTTATAGTGTTATTTATATGAGCGATAAAGACAAGAATATCAGTGATATTTATTTTGACCGGGCTGGGTTCGGTAGCGTTGCCACCACTTATAAAGATGCCAAGCAGAAAGATGCAACAATCACAATGCAAGATGTTAAGGAGTGGTTTCAAGAGAACGTGGAACGGAAAAAACAACTGTCTGGATACAATTCGTTTATTGCCCCTGATATCAACTTTGAATATCAATTGGATCTATTTTTTATATCAAAAAATGATTTAGACAATCAAACATATAGGATAGGCTTATTGCTTGTTGATGTATTTTCCCGCAAAGCCGTGGTGGTGCCCATTGCATCCAAGCAACCTGCCGACATCACGGCTGGGATCATGGAGGCATTAAACAAAATGGGAGGGAAACCCAAATTAATTTATTCGGATGATGAGGGGAGTCTCAATACCCAAGATCTTGTTGATTTTTTCAAGGACGAAGGGATCCAAAACTATAAAACACGAGGGCACCCCCATTTCGCCGAGCGTTTCATTCGCACGTTCAAGGACATGCTTTTCAAGAGGGTTGATGCAGACGAGAAAAAGGGAAAGGTTAATACACAATGGGTTGATTACATTCTTGAGATCATGCTGACATATAACAGTAAAATGGTCCATTCTGCACATGGCATGACACCACATGACGCCCACAAAAAAGAAAACCATCTTGAGGTCAAGATGAAACTTGAGATGAACAGAACGAAAACCCGTAAATATCCCCCTGTTAGGGTTGGTGATGAGGTCAAAATCTACCGTAAAAAAGGGATTTCTGAGAAAGAAAGAACGAGTTCGTGGAGCAGTGCCAAATACAAGGTTTCAAGGGTTGAAAAAAAACTTGGTCAAGATTATTATTCTGTTGAAGGGATGAACCGCCCCTATTTGAGGTCAGAGATTCTCAAGGTTTGAACACAAACCAGTCACCAACAACAAGGTTTGAGACGATGTGTCACTGTTTCTGGGTCACTGTTTGTATGACGACGTGTCACTGTTTCTATGACGACGTGTCACTGTTTCTATGACAACATGTCACTGTTTCTATGACGACATATCACTGTTTCTATGACAACGTGTCACTGTTTCTATGACGGCACGTCACTGTTTCTATGATGACATGACACGGTTTCTGTGACGATATTTCATAAACAACATTTGCTGAGACAACATGTTGTAATGGCGGTAGCAAAACTGATTCCGCCAACTGTTGGTTCAAGCTTGAGGTGGCATGATCGGATGATTTGCGACCAAAACATGATGCTCAACAGTCATTGAAGTGTCATGTTTGTTCAGGTTTACGTTGCTTTCAGTTTTGCGCAATGGCAGAAGCAGCGCCGCCAAAGAAGCGGAAACTGACACATCGCTGGCTCGCTGAACAACTGCATGATTTTGACGAAAGCGTGCAAAGCCTTGTTGCGGGGCACCTGTCTGACTTCGACGAAGACGATCTGAAGAATGCCCAGCCTTCATTCTTGTTTAGTCTGCTTCCAGCAGGGCTTGAACAAAAGACTCAACAGAAAGTAGTCCTGCGTTTGGGGAATAGGATTCGTGAGGCTTTCCAACCACCGCAACCCGCTCCCTGGCTTTAACATAATCAATATGTTTGTGTCACTCCCTTTCCAGGTTTGGTTGTTTCGTTCCTCTCTGGTTCTTAGGTATGTTTGCTTGAGCAGGTCATTTGTTTGTTTTTGGCGGTTGCTTGTTTCTTGTTTTGTTGGTTTGCTTTCACTGCACTGCTCAGGACCCTGGATATCAAGATGAACTTTGCCATTGGCTGGATGAGGCTGTGTCCAAGACACCGAAGCCCAGCAACTGGGAAGCTGACACCGTGCAGGAGTTTGCACACAATATTCTGGGAAAGAGGGACATGAAAAAAAGGCTGGTTCTGCGAAAGTGTTACATGGACATGTGTAGCCTTGTCCACAAATGGTTGCTTCACAATTTCTCCCAAGAGGACATGGGCGTTTTCGTCATTACAGGCACTCCCGGCATTGGGAAATCCGTTTTTCTGGCTTATGTGGCAAGTCGTTTAACTGAAGAGGGCATCAACATCGTCATCCAGCTGGGCAAAAGATGGTGGTCGCGCATTTCAGGGCAGACCATCACGCACAATGACACATGGCCGGTCAAACTCCTTGACGACTCCAAAACTGTTCTATTGGCAGACCCAGTTGGCGGTGAGAACTCCCAGCCTGTTGACCCTCGCATGCGTGGTTGCACTATTATTTTCACCTCGCCACAGCAGAAGAACTACGACAGTGTTTGGAAGCAGGCTGAAGGTCGTTCAAAGCGCTATTTCATGCCAGTTTGGTCAGAAGAGGAGGTGCTGAACCATTGGAAAGCTGGGGGCATACTGCAGATTTGCAAGGAAGAAGCAGACGTGAAGAAGGCATATTCCATGATTGGAGGGAGTGTGCGATACTTGCACAAATTGCTGGTGGCAGTAGCCGAGAATAAGACCACTCTGGAAGAGGAAGCAAAGCAGATGATTCGCGACTGCGTCGTCAAGTGCACGTTTGAAGACTTGTGTCAGGCTGCTGACAGTGGCGGTGCAGACATGGATGCACAGAACAACAGGAGCAAGATGAGTCGGGTGCTACACATCCATTCGGATGCCAAGTTTCAGACGCCCAATGTGAAGTTGATTGAGTCCGAGGTTGTTCTCAACATTTTGTGTGACCAACTGGCAGAGAAGCAACGGAAAGCTCTTCCTGACCTTATCAGGGCAAGTTTGAATATCACCCCTTTGGGCACACTGTGCGGTCGGCTATTTCAGATGCATGTCGCCGAGGTTTGCAAATCCAAGAAGGTGGAGCTTGTTTGCACTGCATTGAAGACGAATAAGGACAAGACAGAGTCAGCTGCAGTCAAAATTTGCATCCCGACCCTTCAGAAGATGCTCAAGAAGTTGGGTGACCAGCCACCACCGAAGCCTTTGCCAGAATTTGATGAGAATTGCTTGTATTGTCCTGAATCTGAGGCATTTCCAGGCGCTGATTTGTTCTTTGTTACAAAGGAGGGCAAGAACATCACGCTTTGGCTGCTGCAGGTCACGAAGGCGAAAAGTCACGACTGCAAGATTGGTGCTTCTTACAAGCAGTTCAAAAAGTATTTCCAGCTGAATGGAGTCAAGACCATCAACTGGGTTGTAGTCGCTCCTGAAGGTGACATTGCAGAAGGGTATGCATTGAAGCAGAAGGTTGTCGGCGCATGGGATGTTTCGGAGAAATGCAAGTTCAACTTTGAGCAGTATGTGAGTTCATGGAAGGTATGATCTTGACTCGTTCAAGCGACTGAAATGCTGTGAAAAATGGTGGGGTGAGGGAGAGGCGGTGTTGAAGAAACCGGATTTGCAATATGTTCTACAGTTCCAACGGTGGATTTTGCAGTTGCCACGTCGGCTTTTGCAGTTCCAACGGCAGTTTTTGCAGTTCCAACGGCGGATTTTGCAGTTCCAATTGCAGTTCCAACGGCGTTTGTTGCAGTTCCAACCTTGTTCAATCCGCATATTGCCATCCAGATATTTGGGTGTTTGGGCGGGAATGGTGGTGTTCTTTCGTTTTGGGGTGATGAGGGTAACATAAATTTTGGGGTTTTATTTTAGACTGCTTGAGTTTGCAAGAAACAAGTAAGGGTGTCAAGTTGGAACAAGGGAGAAATTATTGAGATTTTGGGGTTGCGATCTTGGGAATGAAAAAATGTTGGTATGTAGCTTGGAGTTTTTTGGTGGGATTTGTTGAGGTGGTATGTAGTTATGATTGTTGTTATTGAATGAGTGTAAGGGTGATGTTGAGATGGGGTAAAAAATGAAGATGGGTATATGAATATGTGTTTTTTGGTGTTGGATTGGTTGGGTGATTGAATTTGAATGTTGAAAATAGGCTGTTTTAGTGGGCGTATTCAGAATGTGCCCAAAAGTGTGGGGGGGACCCTAGGACCGGATGGCAAAATGCGGACGGGAAAGCCCCTGTCTAACTGATACCCCCCTTCTTTTTCAGGGAAACCAAAAGGAACACCGAAGCGTTTCTTTTTCTCTTTTCTTTTTTTTTTTGGGGGGGGGGCGGGGGTGAAAGAAAGACGAGCCACCCGCATTTTTTCCAGCTTGAGGATCATGCCTTGTGATGTATCTTTTGGGTGGCCTCTTGGCTAACATCACGGCACAAAATCTGTGTGAGGCGACTGACGTGGGCCAGGAGCAGGCGGGAGTCGGAGGTTACAACGCTCTCGTGGTTCATGTGGGATAATTTTAATTGGGGTCTCGAACTGGCGGAGAATTCGGGGATTTATGCCCAACCCTTTCTAAGACCCGGTTCCCTTTTTTTATTCAAACGTTTTCCTTTTGATTTCCCCTTAAACCAACGCCAAAAGGCTAGGACCCACTCCGATTTCCCCTAAACACCATTCCAAGGAAGCACCCCTATTTCTGGGCGGGAGCCGACATTTGGTTCTCTCAGGGACCAGCTTTTGGAATCGGTCGTCGATGCACCTCGCCTTTTTTTGAGTACATGACAACTTTTTGTTGGCCTTGACAAAAAACGTGAGTACGCTCCCTGGGTTCAGACGCAGATTCTGCAGCAAACCAAGCCGGGCTTTGTGTCGCACTGACAAGTGGCTGATGTGAACTTGTTTGCATCTCGAAAAAGGAAACAACAGCAATTTCAAGCACACAACACCCTCCTAACACCCGCTTCTTTTTTCCCCCCTTCGAGCCAGCCTGTACAAACAAACGGCATGCACCCACTGATGGACGACATCCAGTTCGCAGCCAAGACAAAGATATCCGGCAAATTCTCTCGTACCTAGCGACGCCAGGTGGTGCACGGCACCTTCCTGCGCCACTGGCTGAAGATCCGCTCGGAGGGGCTGAGGAAGATGAGCTCGGGGGCTCGGGGGGGTTTGGTGGCTGGATTGGGCGGCTGGATTTTGGCTGGGCCGGTCGTTTTTTAGGGGAACCCTTCTTTTTGGTTGGTTTGATGGGACGCCAAACGGAAAACCGACGCCATTTTTGGGTCCCCTACCCAAGATTTGGAGCTTTTAAACCTGGCAAGGGTGCCCCGAGTCACTAATCCAACTTCGCGCTGTCGAAACATGGGCTGGTCATCAACCCTCTTCGACCATATTGTATTCTCACTTCCTGAGTTGGACTTTAATTTTTTTGGGCTTGGATCATTTTAGTGGTAAATAAAGAAGTTCGGCGACTTTTTATGGCCAGTCAACTTGGGAAGTGAGTATTTCAGCAGCTTCGTTCACGCCGCGTTTTCGGTTGGTCCTCGATTCTCGATTTTCCAGTGGCCGACTTGGCGCATGGCCCAATGGCCCCTGCAGCCCGGGCCCCGATGGGAGGTTTTCCAAGCGCGCGGTGAGCTGAGGCCGGAACCACATCCATCTCTGCCCCTTGGCTCGGACAGTTTTTTTCTTTTTGTTTTTCTTCTTCATGTTTTTCCTTCATTTTTAAGATTTATTATTATCATGATTATTTTCCGATGCAACCTTTGCGTGGTTTTTGTGGTTTCTCTTGTGGAGCCTTCTGGATTGTACGGGGCAACCACGGAGGAAACCAATCAGAGCCCACCATTGTTTTCAGTATGTGAAGGGAAGCCAACGAGGATTCCTCTTTTGAGCACCCCTCGTGTCTGGAGAAAAGGGGAAGGTGCACACGGTCCTTTTTTTCCTCCTCCCCAAATGACGCAGTTTTTTCATGAGGTTGGGCCATTCGCGAACTAGCCATTTCCTTCAACACCCATTTCTTGCGCGTATTTCTAGGAAGGCACAACTTCAGGCCTTCTGTGGTTTCCGCTAAAATCCGGTTCCGTCGCGTCAGCTTTTGAGCTCGATAGGGTCCTGACCAGAAAGATGTCCAGCTTGCCAGAGCTAGGGTGACGCAGGTTTTAGTCTTTGGTTCCATTTACCAATGTGCCATTTTGGTACATGTTTGCGAGCCACAGCCAGGTGTTTCGAATAAACCAAAAGGGCATCCTCCAAAAGCTGAAGCCGCAAGGGATGGTTCAAACGGGGGCATTCCTGGTTCTTGCTGGCAATTGATACCCAAGGATTTGGTTTTTCGTTTGAAACCCTGGTTCTTGTGGAGCAAATGGGAAGTCAGAACCAAGGCAAATCAAAGCCAGGTATCTTTTGCGGTTTCCTTTTCGGCAATCCTCATGTTCATTTCCAAGATAGGTGGGTGTGAATGTTGCGAGGGGACCCTTTGGTGGACGTCAGAATTCGTTGGAGATTCATTTCGACCTCTTTGGAGCTGGTTTCAACTTTTAAAGCAATCACAGTCATTTTGGGTGTTTCTCAAAATCGAGAATCCGGCGGCTCTCAACTATGTTTTGTTTCCCTTTTGGTTGCCCTTCAAACCAACCCCCAAAAATTTGGAAAAACCTGCCCAATTGGCAGGCTTCCCCTGAAAACCACTCACTTTGGCGGTGGCTTTAGGCTCGAAGATCATAGGTTCCCCCAGTAGTCCCCTTGTCTCCCCTTTTTTGGTTGGGAGGGCTCCCCTACTAAAATAGACGAAGCCGAAAAAAAAAGCGGGGTACCAACTTCTTCTATCCGCTCTACTGGAAAGGCTAGTAGGGGTGATATCCCGAGGCCTGGGTCTGCCGGGCAGCGGAGTCGGGGGCCATAGAGATGCGGGGGCAAGGCCAGGCAGAATGGGAGGGGTTAGGTGGGGTTGGAAAACCGGTTTGTGGAATAATCAGGGTACAGAGGGTTGGCTTTTTGCTTTGAGAAATCATGCTGACCCTGGCCAAGACGTGTGATTCCGGCAAAACAAAACCTTGGAGGTTTGCTGAATTTGTTTCCAATATTTTCCATTTTCCAAGTTTTTGTGCTGGCCGGTTTTCGAAGGAGAGGGGGCTTGCAGCCAATCGGAAGTTCGCCAAGCAAAAAACCGTTCGGCGAAAGGATTGTGCCGGGGAGAGCACTCCTTCTCTCTTGTGAGGTTGGGTCGAACTGTTTTCGGTCTATGACTTTGGGGCTGGGGCCTGGTTAGAAGTGTAACATCCACACATCCATTCCCATGCCCACGGAGAGTATTTTCACCTTGGCTCAATCAGAGTGGCTGGAATCGGTGAGGGATAAACGTCAGCGGAAAGAAACGTTGCCATACTTTGATTTGGATCACTTTCGGTTGGTTGTTACGAAGCCAACTATTTGGGGGGAGGGGGTCCGGTCCCCTTTGAGACAAACCCAAATGGGGTTGCAGTGTCCAAGTTGCAACCGGACTCCTGGTGGGCTTCTATCGGGTTTCCTGTATGACAGTCCATCCAGGTTCTCCTTCCAAGTTGTCTTGAACAAAACACGGACGTGCAGTGTTTCGGAGACCCACTGGATGATTACAGTTGAGTGAAAGTAGATGGCACTTCCATGTTGCTTACACCATCCCTCTTCTTATCACATAGAGGGAGCTCTGCCATCATCTACTTTGCGTTGTTCAAACTCCTCTTGTTTGTGGGGCGCTATTTGAGGGACGCCTTAAAATGGATCCTTGGATTTCCCTTTTAAAACCCACCAAATGGATTTCGGTTCTATAGGCTTTAAAACCAACCTGAAAGGATGCATCCTCCTCACATGGACGCACCACCCGTTGGATTCTTCGAACTCTCACCCGACCCAACTCCGCCACATCCGCCGAGCCAAAGCGCCGAAGCCGAAGCCGAGAAGCCGAGGTGGTGAGCGGCATGCGCGAGGACTGCAACGTGGCGATCTTCGTGAACCTGGCGGCTGCCGGGGGGCCCGGCCGGACTGCGAGGAAGAACAAATTCATGTCTCGGGGTCTGTGGTAAATTGGCCTCTTTTGACTTTTTTTCGTTTTGAAGGGACACCAACCATATCTCTGTCTTATCTCTGAATAATCCATTTCGCACCACCGTTCAGAAATCCTGGTGTCTCATGATTCCCCCTGTAAATACCACTAAACAATGGTTTCAACTTTCAACCATGGTTTGAAAGTGGCGCAGGATTTCGTCCACCCACAGTATCTCTGGATCTCTGGTCCTTTTTGAGCTGGTTTTTGTGTTTGTCTTGTTTTCAAGGGAAACCAACCATATCTCGGTGTCTCGTCTCTTTTGTTGAGTTGGTACCTTTTCTCTTCGGTTTTGAAGGGAACCCCCTTGGATCCAAGATGAAAGGATATCCGATACGGAGAGTTGAGTGCTTCCTACCAGAACAACCCCTTCTCCCGATGTTTGACCCGTCCCGGGTGCCCTCCTTGGAAGACACATTCGTGTGAAACTGGTCTCAACATAGCCACATAGCCCCCCCACCTAAATGGCAGTTCTCCTTTGGGTTTCCTAGGAAAATCCCAAGCTGAAAAGGGTATCCTCCAACCGCACAAATGGGTGATGGACAGCTTGGTGTGGTCCATCACCCGGCTAGATAAAGCTGAGTCAGGATAGCCCCAACCAGAGAAAGGTGCGGCTATGTGCCCTTTTCATTCTTTATCGTGGGTTCTGGGCGGTTGTTTTCCGACATGGTTTAGGTCATGTTGGCCCGTGCTAAATCCGGGAACCCCTCCTGGTTAAAAACAAAAACAAAACCAAAGCACCTTAAAAGGCCAGCCATCATTTTGCCAGGACCCTTTCCCAGGACCATTTCCCAGGACCCTTTCCCCCCCATTTTGTAGCGGCCCGCCTGTGTGTTGGACCTCAGCCTTGTTGACACCCTGGCATAGATGGATGGCCTTCTCTACGTTTTTTTGGGGGTGCCCGTTCCCCCGTTTTCGGCTTTCCCTTCTCGGATTTCCTGGGCACCCGAGCAAATGGCTGGGCCAAGCAGCCCAGAATCCTGCCGAGGCCATGGAGCAGGGCGTGAAGTTCATGCAGTCCAGCAACGGCGCGCCGCGCTCCGCCCCCCAACGCCGGCCCCCCCCCAAAAAAAAAACACAGAAAATCGAGAAACAAGGAACAGTTTGGAGCCTTCCGGTTGAGAGCCAAGGTTGGACAGCTCCGGGTTGGCTCCGGACTCTGCGTTTTACAAGCGAGCCGGTAGCTACAACCGGATTGGTGTTTGGTTTCCGAAGAGAAACCTCGCAAGTGGACTCCATTGAGACTGCCGACGGCACCAAGACATGTCTTGCCCGCATGCAGTTCAGCAATCCAGGCCTCTCGGGGTTGTGGTAGGGAGGCTTCAAACCGGGGCAGCTTGGAGTTCGTTTCATGTCTTCCACTTTTGGGGGTAGACAGATCTAGGGGCCTCCCCAGGCGGAAGTATGGCAAGGTGCAGAAAGAACACGCTGCACTGTTGCTGTTTCGACTTGTGTCAAGAGTTGATTTGCCTGGCCTCACACATTGGTATGGTCCTGGTAGCAGCCAGCGTTTCCGCTGGCAGTAGCGAGACTGCGACACGCATATCCGATGCTTAAAACGACCGCGAAAGTACAGTCTCAGCCATACATATACTTGGACAAGAGACATGGATGCCAAACATGTCAAGAAAGGTGGTCAAAAGCAGCACCTGGTTTACCGCTCCCCCGAAAAACCCCAAAACAAAAGCAAAGCCTCAATCCACAAGACTCCTCCGAACCCCAAGCCCCAACTCCCCCCCCTCCCCCCAAACAACTGCCCCCTCATCCGCCCCCCTCCCCAACTTTGCACCCCCCACACCTCCCCCCCCCAACCCCAGCCCCCCCTCCCCCACCTCCCCCCACCTCCCCCCCCCGCCCCCCCCCCCAGCCCCCCCCTCCCCCCTCCCCCACCCCCCCCCCCCCTCAGTTAGAGTTGGGCTCTCCCGTCCGCATTTTGCCATCCGGTCCGTCCCCCCCACACTTTTGGGTACAATTCAAATACGCCCACTAAAACAGCCCATTTTCAACATTCAAATTCAATCACCCAACCAATCCAACTCCAAAAAACACATATTCACAAACCCATCTTCATTTCTTACCCCATCTCAACATCACCCTTACACTCATTCAATAACAACAATCATAACTACATACCACCTCAACAAATCCCACCAAACAAATCCAAGCTACATACCAACATTTTTTCATTCCCAAGATCGCAACCCCAAGATCTCAATAATTTCTCCCTTGATCCAACTTGAGACCCTTTCCCATTTCCAACAAATACGAACAGTCTAAAAAAGAACCCTATGTTCGCCCCGAAAAATGGTTAACCAATGGAAAAGGGAGAATTAAAACCGTTAACCCAAATCTTGAAAACAATCCCAGTAAAATATGGATGGCAAAATGCGGATGGGAAAGGCCTATGTAGGAAAGCACCCCCACGGCTTATACGGGAAAATTAAACTAAAATTACAACATATAAGATCTTATATGTTGTAACTATAGTAAAATCAAGAACTGAAACATTCATCTCAATAATAGCTAGCCGTGCTTTCATTATCGCTAAATTCTTCATCCTCGTCATAGAAGTCTTCCGTGCTTAATATATGATAATGGGCTAAAGCGTTAACCGTAGGTGGTCGCTTGTCTTGACTCTTAATAAGTATCCACTTGGGCCACCATGTTGGCTCAAGTGGACCTTTTGATCTTTTGTCTTGTGATTTGAAATCTTTCTTTCCCCTACTCTCAAAGCCATGTATGCCCCCGCCTACGCTGGTGCCGCGGTAGCAGAGGCCAAGGCTAAGGCAAAGGCCTCCATGGCAAAGTACCTGGCGAGCCTCGTGAAGAGGGAGGAAGAAGGATGGACCGTTTTGGCTGCTGAGGTCCCTCAGGCACCTGACGAGCGTTTCTTCTCCAGCGCAGATGAGCTGGAGCAGGCCCCCCTTATCCCGGCCAAGCGCAAGGCAGAGGATGAGCCGATGGAAGATGCAGCCCCTGGGGTGGCGCAGGTGCCGAAGGCCCTGACACGCCCCCCAGGGGCGTTCCTGGAGCTCCTGAACCCGCCGGAGGAGGACGTGCCCATGGAGGAGCTCCTGGCGAAGGACGAGAAGGAGCTGCCGATGCCCAGGTTCCCCTCGGCTGCAGCCCGCTTGGAGGAGGCCCGCCTGGATGCCCGGGCAGACGCCAAGTGGCAGAGGCGCCGGGAGCTGATGGCGAAGGTCAAGGAGCAGGCGTCCTCGGAGGAGGATGAGAACCCCGCAGCCCCCCCGCCGGGGGGGAGCGTGTTCACCAAGGCCCTCAAGGTCTCGGAGGGCCTCTACCAGTTCAGCGACGACCAGATGGCGGGCGACTTCCCTTGCTTCGATGCGACCACGGCCACTAGGCTCCGCCGACTGCAGGCCAAGGACGTCCAGCGGCTCCTGCGAGGCTTTGAGGGCCCCCAACTCAAGCAGGGGGGCCTGGAGCGCGTTGTGGAGGCCTTCTACATCGCCAAGATGAAGTACGAGCATGAGGCCCGGCTCAGCACCCCGGGACAGCAGGTTGGCAAGCGCGCTGGCTTGGGGTACGGGGGCCTGGAGAACCGCCCCCTGGGCAAGGTGCCCACATCCTGGATCTGCCCCTGCTGCACCATGCCCTGGGTGAAGAAGGGCGCCACGAAGTGCATGGGGTGCGGCAAGAAGACGGAGCCCATTGACACGGCGACCAACTCGGCCACCCTGGAGATGGCGGGCACGCATTGGCAGTTGACGGTGGATGACCAGGGCAATGCGGTCTGGACGGCGGCCCGGTCCGCGGGTGCCGAAGGCCCTGACACGGACCGGGCCCGCGACCTCAAGCTCAGTGCCTCGGTGGACGTCAGCGAGCTGGCCACCGACCCGATGGCCTGCGAGAACCCGGACCAGGCCAGCTTCTCGGACTTCGTCCCCTCCTCGGTCCGGGCGGTGATCAGGAACTGCCCCATGGAGCTGGACGAGGAGTTTCTGACGGCCCCACCGGGGGAGAGGCCCCCATTGCCAGGCGACAAGGAAGAGGGCCAGGAATGCAGAGCCTTCCACCCGTCTGCGGTGAAGGCCTTCAAGATTCAGACCCGGCTCAACGCCACCACCATCGCCCAGGAGGAGGCCAAGAAGGCGGACCAGGTGGAAGCGGTGGAGCGCTCCGCGGCGGTCCTCCACGAACTTCAAGGGGGGGCCATTGACGGAGGAGGTGATGGAGGCCTGCTCCTGAAGAACCTGGACTTGGACCTCTTCCGTGAGAAGCTGCTGGACAAGCTGGGTGCGGACTGGGGGAGACCCACACCGGAGCTCCTCCAGGCCCAGACCACTGCGGAGGAGGCGAAAGCGAAACACCAAGCCAGACAGGCGAAGGGCTCCCTCAAAACCAGAATGCTCGAGCCCATCGCGCCTCCCTTCAGTGCGTGGCCTAGGGAGGTCCGGGTCGCCATTGAGACTGGGGTCTTCGAGCCGACAACGGCATGGAGGGACTTCAGTATGGACGACCTCACATCCCTCACGGACTCCTACCTTGAGGCCAAGGCGGTCATCTCGCTGGGTAGGAATCCCTTCCCGGCGGCCCTCCTGTCAGATCTGCCGGACCTGACAGGGATCCCCATGCCAAAGGCGGGGGGCTCTGGTGCGGCGCGCCCAGGTGCCGAGGGCCCTGACAGGCCGCCCACCATCCCCCCAGCCTCGGGCTCTGGCGTGACGAGCTCAGGTGCCGAGGGCCCTGACAAGCCGTCCGCCACCCCGGTGGGCCTGGACACCAAGGACCCGGAGGTGCAGCTCTCGGTCCTGCGCTGGATGATGAGCAAACGGGTCGGAGAGGTCCGTATCTTTGCGGGCCGCTGGGTCCGACGACCGGGCCCGGTACACGTCCCGGATTGGGCGAAAAACCTCACCAAGGTGAATCCGGAGGCGTTGGAGAAGGGTACGCATCCCAGGAACCACCAGGTGGGTGGACTCCCCTGGGCCAGGTACTCCGTTGATGAGTTGCACCAGCAGGCGAAGGCGGGGGACCGACCCTACCCTGGGGACCTGCGATCCATCTTTTGGGCTGCCCCCCACGATCCGGATGAGGACTTCCACTGGACGCGCCAGATCTCGTCCTGGACACTCCCAGGCCTACTGGGGATGTTCGGGCACAGCTACACCCTGCGCCAGCTCTGGGGAGTCTGGGAGTCTCTGCCACTGCTGCAGGGCCCTAGGCAGCGGGGCCCGAAAAACAAGGCCCAGAATCAGACCCGCCTGGAGGGCTGGGAGACCCTGAAGGAGGACGCGCGGTGCTTCCTGAAGGAAGGAGGAGGGCCTTCCGTTTCCGCAGACAGGACCGGAGTGGCGATTGGTCTACCGGGACGGACACCCCGGCGGAGGTGATGCAGCTCCCGGTCCAGGACGTGGCGGACTCCAAGGAGCAGATGATCATGCGGGCGGTATGCGACGAGCGCATCTCGGTCCCGGTGGAGAGCCTCCAGCAGTTCCCAGAGGTGTACAAGGCCCTCATGGACCGCATTGGAGGCCCGGGGGCCCTGGCGGAGGTGAAGGTCAACTGGCGCTGCAACACGAAGCAGTGGTGGGTCGGCGCAGTCCCCGACTCAGTGGCCCCCTCCATCTACCGCAAGCTCGGCTACACCAACGACATGATCAAGCTGATGGGCCTGGACCCCTCCGCCCCTGGGTGCCGGACAGGTGCCGATGGCCCTGACATCCGCCCCAGGGGAGGCGAGGGCGATGAGGGGATCGTTTACCCCCCCATCACGGCGGACAACGTCCACGGCGTGGTGGGTAAGGACTACCGGAAGAAGAACTATCCGGTGGAGATGAAGCATGTCTTCTGGGCGCACATGGAGTGTGGCCTGGTCCTGAGCTCCGTCACCCCGTGGGAACTCATCCCGAAGACAAAAGGGGAGACCCGGGGGGGCTACATGTGCAAGTATTGTAAGGGGTACTGGCGTGCCGGGGGAGGGGGCACCCGCCTCCTCCAGATCCGGGCCGGCAAGGCCATCTTGCAGCTGGTGTTGGACGAGCCGCCGGAGGGCCTCTACAACCGC